ATACATACATACATACCTACTATATATATATATAGAACTGTAGCATTGTCGATTCAGCCGGCTCATTGACTTGCTCCCTAGGATCCGTAAAATGAGAGCTTATAGATCAACGAAATATTATACATTCTGAACACTCACATGAGGCTGAGCGGCATATGTACGGGAATTCGTAATTCTACGTACGGTGACGTGAATTTGTTCCAAAATGTGTTCTGTCGAATCACCCTCTGAGAGTATAGTCAAGTAGATCACTCACTACGGAAACAGCTCTAGCCTGCCAGGTGCTTTTAGACTATCATCCAAAGTAACTCACCTTGGAACTTCTTCATGGACACCAATGAAGGCTTGCGATCCATTATTTCTTGCTGTACACTCAAACGTTGATTTGGATTAGATATGCCCAGCGGCTTAGAACTTATATGCATGGGTGGCATGCCCTCGGAATCAGAATGCGCCTTTTCAACATCAGAAGTGGTTGACATCGGGTTTGTGACTTAGTGCTTGATTACACGATTACTCGACATCCTGGCTGTGAGCGTGAATCGAAATGCATATTTACATATGTATTGTAGAAATAGGTGCGCTATTGTTGTAGTTAAAGAAAAGAAAAATATAAGTCCAAAAAACTTTTGCTTTTTTGCGCCATAATTTTTTATGACCGGCACAGATGGTAGATAAGAGAATGTAACTAGCTTGCAAATGTCTTTCCTCTTGAGACTCATTTTCTGACGCGAGTTATTAATATCATTGGAATGAGACGTGCATTCAGTCGTGACTAGGGAAAACTAAACCTACTAAACCTTATTACCACTCCAATGTATACTTCTTTTTATAACAGAGCTGTGGAACGTTTCATTAATGTCAGTGGAATGAGTCGTCACTGGAATGAGACGTGTGCATTTCGGTCGTGACTAAGAAAAATTAAACCTTATCACCACACCAGTGTATACTTCTGTTTTAACAGAGTTGTGATACCTTTCATGATTTGATTTTGATACTGAAGTTTTCAATTAATGTCGTACCTGAACCTCACCTGCCATTATCAGTAAATAGCAGAATCATTAGAGATAGACTATATTCTTCAGTGATAAAGATATGGTGCCATAGACATACCTAATAAATTCAAGACGATATTTGCTTACGTATATAAGCTTCATTTGTTACATTTATTGGAAAGGCTGTGCACAATTTTTTATGTATACACCGACAATCCGAAGAAGAAATAATGTTCAGTGAAGTTTTGAAATTGGAATCTGTGTGCCCTCTTGGGTGGTCAACCCGAGTTTCATTTCAGAATGACCGCGAGAGAGTTAACTCAAGCCAGAAAGAGGAAGCCGATCTTGAGAGCTCAGTATCCAGCAAGCCTTCACTTCAATAATTTTTAACTACATACAATACTTTTTATTTTTTTAGACAAATACAGCGGAAAGTAGAGCTCGCGACCATATGGAAACCTCCCAGGTTTTAGTGCAAAGCACAACTCCTTCTCTCCACACAAGGGAACTGTGTTTGACTGTTTGACTGTATTTCAGGAAACATAGGACGACTTCCAAAGTTCCAGGGAATCGTGCAAAACTGCAAAAGTCAAAAAGACAGTATTTACATATATGTCGATAGTGCGCATTTGCAGTATTTATACATTAGTATTCGCGCGTGTAGATCACCACTATTTCTGTACTATTTCTGTGAAAAATATATATGTATACTGATTCGGATACATTTACACTATTTGTCATTGTATTTACTTGAAATCAGAGACCGTCACGGGATTTGTTTTTGTGGGCCATTAAAATATATCAGCCAAAAACCAGGTGGCAAAAATTTGATATTTCTGGTCTGACAACCAACACTTTCGTCGGTCCTATCAACCTCTACTAGTCTCACTCACATTTGTAGATCGCACATATACATAGTTATATATCAACTACAGAAATCGCGCACACGTGTGTGTATATTGACGCCGGTGCGAACACCAGAGACAAATTCTGATTTCGAATAGGAGTTTCTCAGGAATTATAGATGAAAACGCACCGAATTATATATTCGTATGTAGCTGGACTGGAATACGCAAGCGGTGGATCGCTTGCTTAATCACTGCGTGTAACAGGAACAAACTTCTCTCCACTGCCCTTTATTATAAACCCTTGTTTGCCCGCTGTGGGGTTTCGTGTTCGCTTTGAACCTCTGACATGTTAAAAATAAATTGGACTCTCATGGACAACTTTCTGGATTTGGGTCGAAAGTGAGAGATAGTAAATAGTAGAATGGACAACTTAGAGGAGGGGTCATGATAATATTTAACCTTGGGTTTTACTTTTTTAGGGTCACCTGATCATTCATAGCTCCCTGAAAAAAAAACATCTCATTTGACATAAAAATGTAAACATGTATGACGTATGTAGGCCTTATAGTTTTTTAGGTCTCTTGATATTGGCGTTAAAAAAAAATACAATATTCTACTTACATATAATGAAAATAATAAACCAAAACCTGTCGCAAGCGACAGAGGGATCTGAAAGTGTTAAACGCACAAATGAAGCAGTAAAACTTAGGATGGGAACCATTTGTATGCGTTACAAAGTGAATGGGAAACGTTTAACCTAATATAGCTTTTAGCGTGACCAGATCTGTGACACATTAAAGTTGAGAAGGGACTTTTAGCTATACGCTTTCAGACATCAGTGATAAACTAATTTCAGGCCCAATAAATATATACATCTACAACTGCAACCTACACTTCATGCAAGAGGCGACTGCTGAGCGCTAGAGCTATTCTCGTGTACTAACATAAAAATCTAAATGTTGATCAGTATGAATTTTTTCACCGAGAAGCAGCTGACTCTAAATCGGCTGAGGTCAAGTCTTATCCGTATGGAGGTACGAATATATGTTTGCAACTGTTGGGTGTGATTTCCGTTACAACTCACAGTCGGCGCCATTATGATACGCTTTGAGTCTTCAATGTAGTCCTTATAGCTGCTTATATATGTATATATCTATATATATATATATATCTATATCTATATCTATATCTCTATCTATATCTATATCTATATCTATATCTATATATCTATCTATAGCTAAAACTATATCTATATCAATTTCTATATATATAAC